GAATGGTGGCAGAAGGTTGGGAAAGTAAGTGGAGTGATATGCTCATGAATAACCCCAATCGGACACATGATGTCGAAATAGTAGCTGGTCATATAAAGACACACTTTATACAGTTATAGTTGCCCAGACAGTACACGTTAACTAGAGCCGACACATAGCTGGGAGATCATAGACAAGTTAGGCTGTTTGAAGATTGTGTGATGACATTGAATCTGCAAATTCTGGATAAATAAACATGTTCACAAACAAAGCTGCTATTCCCTAAAGGTCCTGGATGATTACATATGAAAGGTTTGGGCTGCCAAAGTAGTCTACTACAGTCCACACACAGTCTCCGATAATCTATTATATTATTTTCTTTGTTACAAGGTGGCTCCCAAAATCAAACAACGGATGATGGAGACTGGCAGTATGATGATCGGATACACACCTCTTTCAGTCAAGGGATTTGTCAACTTCTTCCGCATCATCATCACCAACCCTCTACAGGACCATGCTGAGATGGACAGAGTCCTAGCGGAGATAGATAAACTAGGAAAAGACCTCTAAACTGGACAACAAACAAAAAAGAATGAACCCGACGACGTACAGAGATACAAGTATTTAAGACGTAGAACAAGCATCGTTTTGAGTTTATTAATGATGTGATTGGACACTGTCATCGGTTTGTATGATGGAGATGCGGAAATGTCCCTTTCCTGTGGCATCAGTCCGTCTGTTCATATTGTAAATGTATTTGTGCTGATTGTGCAATAAACTGATATAGCTTATTCGTCTTTTATGTGTTGCAATGTTTATAAATATTTATGATAGTGTGTATGTCATACTGATTTTAAGAGTACCAGAATTCTTACACGAGGTACCTAATATCAGTATGACCTACCTGCGAGTGTAATATATTCTTAATACTTACGTTTTATTAATCCATTTCCTTCCCGCCCCCAAACTCTTGTCGTAAAATGCTATAAGTGTGAAAAGTACAATTGTTGAACGATCTTCAGCTATGACGTCGTTTCTAATGTGACGTCATTCCAGCCGGGAGCCAGAATAAGATACGAATGACGTAAAGATTATACTGGTACACGTTAAGCGATAGTGCACTCATTTGACTTTCATGGACTTGGTAATTTCAAACAGATTATCGCACTAGTGTGATTTGGAAAGGCTTCATCGCATTTATTTATCCTGAATTGGGAATAAACTTTGTATGTGGTGAGCCTTGGTAAGCCATCGGCCCGCTCACGAGAGTAACTGGCCTTTAACACAGTGAACCTACTCTTACCCAAGTCTGGGGAGGTTTAAAGTGTGCCTGCCCTGTCAAAATGTTCGACGTGCAGAGTGAGATGTACACACAGCGACAAAATATAACAAGGTAACAATATCAGACATATTTCGTCGACACCCACCTGTTTTAAATTAGGAAAAAGATCCCGGTTCTACAGGAACAGTAGACTAATGCTTAGTAAATTGAGAAGGAGCCCAAGGGAGAGATGTGTGTGTGTGTGTGTGTGTGTGTGTGTGTGTGTTCAGAAACTGCGGAAATCTAGACTTGCTTTATTTAGGGCTGTAGCACTGCAGAGAGGGCTTGGAAGTAGGGAAAATAATGTGGTTCAGGGACTGTGAGACAGACTACAGGAACAGATATAATCTGCCTCACAGTCCCTGAACCACATTATTTCCCTACTGCCTAGACCTCACCAGGGGACTGCAGCCCTAAATCCAGAAACAGATCTAATCTGTCTCACAGTTTCTGAAACACATTATTTCCACACACACACACACACACACACACACACACACACAGCACACATGAAGCACACACACACACACACACACACACACACACACACACACACACGCACGCACACACACACACACACACACCTCAATTTAAATGGGTTTATTGGTTACTATCAAAATTATATATATTCATAGACAAAGCGTTAGTCCAGCACAGATATGGAAACTGATTCTGTTTGGCTTGGGTTCGGAGTAAACTTTTCGCAATATATATGTTTTCAAAGTTCCACAAACTGACGTTCAGTAGTTTTGTTCTTATGATGACAACAATGATCACATAGGTTCTCTATATTCCCGAGGGTAACCTTTGACCAGATCGCCGAATGACTAGGACAACGCCATGTTTGTTTGTAAACACTTAAGTAACACCTCGCTGAGTAACAGCAGAGACCATATAATATATTATATGGTCTCTGGTAACAGTGAGAAGGTTGAAGTTATTCTCCTTACGGTAATGTCACATTACATTACATAAGAAGTTTCAACAAAAAGCAGAGTCAGTTGCATGAATCAGATAGTATATATATGTGTATATATAGTGTTTTGATACGACCCCCAACAAATTAAACGTCAACGACAGAGAAAGTTTCTGATTAGTCTAGGTTACCCGCCGTGAAAGCATATTTTCATTTTCAATTACGTTTAGCCCATACCAGCCCAGGTATTTTTAACAAACACGTTTTTTTATGTAACATAGTGCGTGTGGGAATCTTTGACCATCTCTATGTATGTTTATTTACGTGTATGTGTGAACTGACGTGTGTTTAGTTCTCATTCATACCTGAAACCATTCAAAACATGTTGTAAGTTTTCCCTCAATTCTCACAGCACACAGACAGCGTTGGTCAAAATCTTGTTCTTTTCCGATGTAATTGAATGGCAGCTGCTGTGCACATTTGGTGTTTCGATGTTTAGTTCTTAAAGTGGCATTACAAAGTTGTTATCTATGTTCATTATAACCTGCGTGTACGTTTCTCTTAACAATCATATCGTGTCTCTGCCGATGCTACAGTTTATTTGCAAAATGATTTCGCTCAAAATCATACAACTCCTCTCAAACTAGTGATGATGAATAACACGCTTTTGACAATAGAAATATATAGCATGTGCTATTGATGATCAAATCACTTCACATCCACACGTGAGGTGTGTTCGTTGTGTGTTTATATATGTGAACAATCTTCAATATTAAAATATACATGTTAAGAAGAAAACTCTGTTGTGACAGAGTATGCATAGCTTTCCACTTGATCAGATGCGTCAGTTATGGTATTTAGTTGATGTTTGTTAGCGTTATGTACATATTCACGTCAGGACAACTTCCACGGGTTGTACATGCCTTTTCCGATTGTGGGTGTTCAGACTGAGGAAGCCTTTTCGGATTGTTTCAGTTTGTACTGTGCATCATTGGACCTTCTAAAGGCAATACTTCAATTAAAACACAGTATATACTAACGAGTGAGTGAGTTTGGTTTTACGCCGCCTATAGCAATATTCCAGCAATATCACGGTGGGGGACGCCAGAAATGGGCTTCACTCATTGTACCCATGTGGGGATTCGAACCCGGGTCTTCGGCGTGACGAGCCAACGCTTTAACCACTAGACTACCCCACCGCCCCTATATACTAACGATCATTGTCTCGAAGAGCAATTATTTGAAAGGTAAACATATGTATGTCATGTTACTAAATGTGTTGCAGGAATACACCCTGTATCATGAATATAGTTACAAGGTGATCTCGACGTGATTTTATCCTTTCGTTTCCGTTCATTCCATTTTAGCTATCTGCTTTATCAAATAGTCTGCCACAACCGTTGTTCTACATGCAATAGGATAATATATGCCGATTTGGGGGGGAGACTTACATTTAGTCTCTGAAGTGAACATAGTGTACACAAAATAAGTTTTTTAAATATTTACTCGATAACATATAATAAAAAGGAGCCATTTTCTGAAACTGCAATAATCTAAACTTACACACCACAGACGCTTGTGGGCTCTCTTAATTATATTTGTTTCAGGATCTATATGACCGGATATTTGTGGGGCAAAATTGTTGTCTGTGGTTCGGTGTTAGGCTATAGAACAAAGGTGTGATGAAGGTAAAAACTAATATGTCATTAAGGTTAAAACTGGTGTGAATACTGTGTAAATCTGGGCCCACTTTTTTATGTCTATAACTGCTTTAACGTAAAACGGTTTTGATTTTTATTAATAGATACGTCAACAAATATATATATATATATTCACAGAGGGCCTATTTAATGATCATTAACTCACAGAAATCTGAACAAACGTCACATCTTGCAACGTATTACTGCGCCTCTTCTCTTATCAACCAATAAAAAAAAAGTTCTTTGCGGCGTTCTTTGTTTTACGGAAACATAACTGTGGAATGTAGAACGTCAGTGCAAAGGAATACCCAATTTTGACTATCCTCAGAAACAAATTCCGTTTGGTGTGAAGGGAAAAATAGTTATATAAATGTATCACTGAATATAAGTTCTGACTCCAGGTGTTCATGAAAAAAGGTGAGCATGTCTTGCCCTTGCGTTAAATTGAAGTATTTTTTGCTTGACGTCGCAAAGCAGTGCTCCTAATAGACCATGAAATCAATTGCAATCTACCTGTCGTCATGAACCATGTATCAAGTGGAGTTCCGAGTTTTCATTGACACTATTCATTGTGTTAAAATGTGGGGACATTTTGAAATTGTACACTAGGATTGTAAACTAGGTATTTTACACACCAGCCACATAATAACCTGGTCTGAGCCAAAGAAATCAGTGACCACGGGACCACTCCATTCGCAAGACTGGCAACCGGATTGACTCGCGTCCAGTTTGGGGCACCTTTTGTAACCCTGGTAACCTAGGGGCTTACGTTGAGTTGACTGAACCAGTTCAACACACCTTTCTTACACAGGCAGTCTGCATAAGGTAACTAGAAAACATATATCCATATTCAATTAAAAAACTGACAAATGGAGTGGTTTTCTGAGAGATGTTAGCGCCACGACTGTCCGAAGTTTATATTGAGACAATTGCACGATAGTCTTGTGAAAGCGGTCTTTGACTGTGTTAACAGTGCAAGATATTGACCAAGTCAAACATGCATCCACATATGTTACACTTAATAAATAAACAGTCATTGTCTTTTTCTTTTTTTTTTATTTAAAAATAAATCACAAAAATGTTCTTAATTTTATTTTTTTATTTCCCACTTCAGCTGAATGCCGACATTTTTGGACGGATTTATTAGACAGAGGTAGTAAACAGGCCGCGTTGAAACAACATGCATCCAGCATAGGTTGTGTCCCCTGATCCCTTGAACACTAGATGTAGGTAATGGCAGTAATGTAGCGCTGATCACATATGCTTTGTATTAGTAAATCACAGTTTCTTAACATCCGCCTACTATTCTCCTCCGCCGCGGCATCGATGCTCCTTTCTCAATGTCGAAAACAAATAATAATAAATTGGTCCATGAGGTTAACAGAATGATATCTGGAAGGTACTTGAGTTTTATTAGATGAATGTTGAAGAATTTTCTAAAATTGTCTATATCTGTCATGAAATATGAGAAGACGTGTGCGGATGAATACGGAACTAGCCATCGGCTCAGCTGAAGCAAGCGGGCCCTATGTCAATACCAAATTCTTGATCTTCTCCCCCAACATCATATAGTCCTACATCCATAATTGGCATTCTTTCTATGCGGTGTCCGCGGCCGCGTACTTCTATTAGTGTTTGTCCCACGTTTCCACTGTATTCCTGAAATAGATATTTATATATTAGAAAAACTGGTACAAACTTATCTCATTGTTAGTGATTTTGGAACAAAAGTTGGACTGTTTGGTGATGGAATTAGTGCACAATTCTAACACTGGAATAACATTCTCTTGGTTCATAAAACAACATTTTCTACCACAAAGGTAAACACTGATATCAAGAACAGTTCCAAAGTTTATAATGTATTTGAAAACCAAATTCAATCTATTTTTCAGGTATGTGCAAACGTACCTTGCAAGTATCAGTCTTTACTCTAAATCTGTATGGTTTCTTGGCAATTGGTCCCATGATTTCCTCGTCGAAACTGCCAAGCCTCACAGCCTTCTTGTGGTTGCCTGCGGCTTGGTCGTAGATGACGACGGTGTTCATGCAGCTGATTGCGAGGTCTTGGCGAGCACGGGTGCTCATTTGGTGTAGGTACTTAATTTGAGACTTGTGCATTCCATAGTCGAACTGCAATTGAAAATGAATCACATGTTGCATCACAATGACCTAAACAATCAACAAACTGTGAACATAAAAATATATTTCTTTGTCTACCCGAGGTAGAGCACGAGTAGACCAAATGTCAAAATCTAAAATCATATTGCACAATCTTGCATTATCATGAACATAATACAAAAGGGCAACACATCATCATCGGCCTATCCTCTAAATTATTTTCAAGTTAAAAATGTTGCTTATGTCAAAAACTACTACAGGCATGCTCCATACCCGACCATAATCAAGTTGTAGCAGATGTTATTTAGATGGTATGTATTGGGGTGAAGACAATGCAAGATTACAAATACTGTTAAAAAACAGAATCACTAATCATTCTTTGAGGTAGTATGCAAACTTAGAGTATGTGTTATGCGAGTACATACAAAGCCGTTGGCATCGAAGGTTTCAGCGAACCACACGTGGGCCTCGGGGTTCTCCTTCCTTGTGAACCAGTGCTGTCTCTCATACTGCAACATGATAGAACAGGAGTAAACAAACCACGCCACATATACAATTGTCAAACACAACTGAACAGTTGTGAAGGAGTACAAATACCTACTGCGAGAATTTACATCTACGACCTATTAAAACATACAGAGGAAAACAGGAAGCGTTGCCCAGCAACTACATTCATTCTTACCCCAGTTTGGATTGGATGTAAGCAGGTCTCAGTCCTCTTTCCGTTGAAGATACATTCGGCCTCAAAAGCATCACTGATACCTCCACCATTAGGATCAATGAAGTACCAACCTGTATAAAGAACACAATACTTCCGGAATCTGCTTTGATAACTAAAACATATTCCTAACATAGGTATGGGAGCTTTATTTCTTATAAACCGTCGAAAATACTATACTTTTAGAACCTACTGTTGATACCTTAGACTTACACTACAGACGCTTACACGCTCAGACACATTTCTGGAATCACTGACCCAGTTCAAAGGTGATGTCAAAGGTCACACCGTTTTGTCGGTTCCGTTAGAAACGCATTCTAAAGACTTTCCAATTTCTATATAGTTACCCAATTAAAGGAATATCGGTTTCACATGTTCGAAACATAATACTTCGAATCTACATGAACTAAAAGAGCAGAATGTCAATGTTCATGAACCCGTACCGTTAGTGATTTCAGGGTTGTTCTTGAGCAGGTCATGGCAGGTACGTCCTGGGGCGTCCTTGGTTCCAGTGGGATCCCTCAGTTTCTTGATCTCCTCTTCAACATCCTTCAGAGCCTTGATGGCGTTACGTGCCTACACGAAAATAGTGAACACACAATGAGACACTCAATCAACGAGCGTGCATATGGTGTGCACAAACAAGGTATTCAACAGAACAGTTACAGAAATAAGTATTTAACAGTTGTACTCAATTAACTTTAACTAAATTGAATACTGACGTTTTTCGATTCTTGAAGTTCTTTTTATCAGTGAAGCTTCATTCTTTTGTTTCAATTTCATCCTGTTAATTGTTCCTTACAACATGATACAATATAAAAAATAGAACCTACCTCCTCTGGTTCACCCTCCTAAAAAATGAAAATAAATAACCATTCAATAATACAGATACATGTTTTTTTCTGAGGAATATGTATTTGTCAAAACGTCACCTTTAAATGGCTGTTCTGATAATTGCTAAACTATCAAATGAAGTGATGAAAAATCTTTATCAAACATAATGCGTGGATTCAAATGTTATGGCTTCAAAACATGCCAACGGATCTGTATTGTTGTAAAAAGTCAACTTACTGCAGATGGCACATCACCCTGTAAACAGAAACAATGATAGGACGATAAATACTTGGATTTAACGATTCGTCACTGTTATTCCTACAGTCAGTTCTCAGTTGTATACCCAGAGATCATTTTCAGGTTATCTGACATGTAGAACTAAAAGACATGAGTATCTATCAGTTTGGAGATATGTAATTATAAATAATAACGGTAACGCTTATGTTAAGATAGACAGAAGAAATGTTAGATTCCTTTAGTTTGGGAAAAGATATAATGTTACAATAATGTCCCATGTGTCATCGTGTAAAGATAAATACAGGGTTAAATTAGAGTTATCAGAACACAGATCGGGAAGTGAAGGTGGTTTCAAACACCCACCATGTAGCCAGGGCCCTTGGATCCGGTGGCCCAGCCGGTAATAGCACGGCCGTACACGCTCTCTCCTGGTGGTCCCTACAACAGATAAGCAATAGCCTGTAACAATACATTTTCCTTCTCACATTATTAAACGATAACTATGTCTTCATGACACAATCATCAACCTCTTACCAAGTTACATACTTAGTCATGAATCTTTAATTAGAGTTTTTCCGAACACTGTCGGAGATAGAGCATGCATGTATGCACAAGGCATATATACATAGTGTATAGAACGACGTTCCATTTCTTATAGATATTGTAACAATACAGAAAAGGTTACACTATATGTATTTATATGCATGGTTTCACTTACGGGGGGTCCTGGATTTCCGGGAAGACCGGCGGAACCCTGTGAAAGGAAAAGAAGCACAGAATAAATACACAGGTATATAATATGTAACACAGGATTATAAGCTATTTACAGAGCATTAACAGGGATAAATGTAACCTTAACACAACTAATTTACATAGCACTGGGCTTGTGAACCTTAACGTTAACACACACGTGCATATAACACAGGAACAGGGGCCTGTGACTGAGACAATCTAAGCATTAACATCATAAGTACAACATTTTACACCTCTTGTACACTTTGATTTGTGAAGAGTGGAAATCAAAATGGAACTTATCATTTACTTGAAGATAGTCCAATCTGCCGGTGATCAAAACATAATAAAACTAAGGTAGTTTCACAAATATACATACCCTTCTTCCATCTTCTCCACTGGGTCCACGGGGGCCCTGTCGTAGGCAAAATACAAAAAGATGAGACGACAAAATACATAAACGTTTACAAATTATACGAAAAATGCACGCGCTAGCAAAAGGATAAGTTTGCACGTTACCGTATTCAAGTGGGCAGAAAGGATACATAGACACCATTCTAGGTGAACTTATATAATGTGGTACGAAAACAAACAAAATCGTTGGCCGAAGCAGTTATTATGAATGTCGTTATCGTTTTTTTAATGTGTCCTCAATTGCCAATGCAAGCACATAATGGTTTCTTGAACTCTTTGGTAACAGGGTGTATGATTTAAGTAATCTCGTGAGAACATCCAATAAGTGGTTATGTAACATAAAGCCATGTGGATATGTACAACTCAAGAAAGACGAATAAAATACGAAATATTTCATCAAGTACTCACAGGGGCACCACGGGGGCCGTCGGGTCCATCTTCTCCGGCTATGCCAGGTTGTCCACGGACTCCGTCGTTACCCTAGCAGGAAAGATAACATGGAACTGAACACATATACATGAGATACGTGAGTAGCCATGTTGGAATTGATCTTCAGAGATCCATGCTTGTGGTAAAAATCGGTTAACTGTCACTAAAATCTGTTCATTTATAGACGCCGTCATTAAGCTGGAATATTTTTTTGCTGTTTTGCTTTCGGGAACAAAAAAAACCCAAACTAAGAACAACAAAACAAACAAACAAACACACACACACACACACACACCAAAAGAAAACCACACACAAAGAACTGTGAATTAAAGAAACAATACGTACTCTCTCTCCAGCCGGTCCACGAGGTCCTGGTGGACCATTCTCTCCAATTGGACCCTAAAAAACAGAAAATATAATTTTTAATATGCATTTGAGTTGCTTGAAAGTTACTTTACTTTTGGATGCTTTTGCAATTAGAGATAGTATACATCGTTACATAGCAATGTTTAGGGCAGTGTTATTGTAAGCAGGATATTGCAAGTTTATGAAGAAAGATGACATAGTCCTACGTACCTCGGGTCCAGGTAGACCAGGAAGTCCCATGTAGCCTGGATCACCCTTGTCTCCCTACAGCATTACAAGAAAAAACACAATGAATTGTTTACTCTCACTAATAATCTTTATAAAATAAAATTTCAGGCTTGCTGCTATTAATAAGTTTATCGAATATATAAGTTCGTAAATCGAGATTGGTTAAACATTTCCAATCCGAAAGAAGTATTTACATATATCAGTACATTTACTCACTTGACATAAAAAATGACTAATATATGTTTTTCAACGAAAGTACATATTGTCTTTGCCAATCTTGTCCGTCCCTGACATATATTCGTGCTGTATCACTTACAGTGTGTCCGGCATCTCCACCCTCGCCATCAATGCCTTGCTCTCCTTGAACTCCCTGCAACAGAAAAACTTATACTGATGCCATGCTAGTCATACTTCATGTGTTTTCCTTTCACATCTTGATTTTGCAAGACATATATCACCGACGACATCATGGTAACTTAATACAGTCACACCAGTGTTATTGTAAAATGGGTGACCGTTACCAAGCAACATTAACATATACACTTGATTTGAAAATGCGGGCACGTATTGAACTGGAAAATTCATTTTCTTTTATACTGTGTGGATGAAATTGGAGTTTCACTGTACATGATTCATGTTCAATGGAAATATGTGTCAGATGATTTAAAATATTTAATTTTAAGTACAAACTATGCATTACTTACGGGAGAACCTCTCAATCCCTGGGGTCCTCTGGGTCCAACAGGTCCAACTGATCCCTGCATATCGAGAAATGTATGTTAGCATGGTAAGAAATGTATTTACCATTAAGATACAAGATATGTCGAGGCGTGATAATACCTCAAGAGAAGAACAAGTGAGTAAAGGTCTGTGTGAGAAACATACAACTTTAACGACCGTGAAAGATAATGCAACCAATTACATATCTTGTGATGCTTAAAAAGGACACCAATGTGCAACTACGTCTGATACTTGTGGAATCTACCAGTAATGTTGACTGTATTACATTTTTTATCAATATTTCCACTGACTATTATTATGAGAACTGTCTTACCCTTTCTCCACGTGAGCCTGCCTCGCCTACTGGTCCGCTTGGTCCAGCAGGTCCCTGTAAATGAATATATTGGTTGTTACAAAATTGCCAGTGAATAGCAAATGTCATGGGAAAATGAAATACTTTCATTCTGCGCGTACTCGGTAAATATAACACGTCACTTGATGCATGCATCACAAAGTTGTGATCGGATTTCACAAACGCATGACACAACAGAAATATGACCGTTTCACATGACAGTGTTACTTCGGATATCTTTTACAAACCTCTGGGCATACAGTGAACCAGAAGTGAATGAGAAAACAAATATAACTCACCTGAAGTCCTGGTAGACCTATGGGTCCAACTCGCCCGGCATCTCCAACAAGTCCAGCCTCGCCTTGACGTCCTGGAAGACCAGCGGCGCCGTCAGCTCCGGGAGCTCCCTGATCAAGGAGAAGACCAAATCAATCACATGCATAGATTCTTCTAATGACGTTGTATTAAAATCATATAGCAAGGCTTTACATATAACGTTTAGAGTAACTGCTAAAACATACAGATGGTCCTGTGGGTCCGTTAATGCCGGGTCCTCCAACGGGTCCGGGGGGTCCAGCTTTTCCGGGAAGTCCATCGCTACCACGACGTCCATTAGTTCCACGAGCTCCCTGTGGATGAATCATACAGTGTAATCATTTCATGTTGTATGGCAATACTGTGTAATGTGAATGCTGTCCATGCCATATATAATAGAGATTCGTAATAGGCATCCCCTTTACTGTATCGACGTGGTTTCAATTGTGTTGGAATAATGATAGTACTTACATTAGGTCCTTGGGGTCCTCCGGGTCCAGTTTCACCAGGTGGTCCAGGCATACCTGGCTCACCGCGCTCTCCTGCGGCACCTGAAGGACCAGGGGGTCCAGATGATCCCTGTTATCATATGTAGACACATATCATTAGGTATATTGATTTTTCCTTGCAAAATGGTAATGCGCTCTCTTCTGAAAAGTGGCCCGCGTGTGGTTTACGGTTTGGATAGTGGCATTTTAAAGGCAACGTGTACAAACATGGAAAATATAGGTTTAATCAAAGGTCTACAAAATTTGAAATATAAAACATGATTGTTTGTGGTTTACTTACAGGTGAACCGTCTTCTCCACGGTTACCCTTCAGTCCTGGATTTCCGGGTTGTCCGGAAGCACCATTTCTGCCAGCCTGTCCCATGTTGCCAGTGGATCCACGTGATCCCTGTAAAACAAATAAATACATCTCAGTGCTTCTAACTGTATCGAGGGCGGATTCATTCTTAAGTTGCTTGATTAGAGAACCAGTCCTGACAAACGTTTGGTATTTTTGTTCCCAAATGAATGGGTCATTATGGCCTCTGTACTTTCATACTAATACTACAAGTAGATAATACATTAAAGAAAACGCTCAAGAACACACATGATTGCAACCTCATACTGACCTTGATACCAGGAGTGCCAGAGGGTCCAGCGGGCCCAGGGAGACCTTGTTGACCAGAGAGACCCTGGGATCCTGGGGCTCCGGGGGCACCTGGTTCACCGGGGATTCCAGCCACACCCTGCTCTCCTCGGGGACCCTTGCGACCTTGAATACCAGGAACTCCCTAGTGGAATGGATATGGAAAATGAAAATAGTTTGCAAAGACAAAACCTCAATGTGACAATATACAGTTTTACAATATACAGGGCAAACTCTAATTTAGACCTCATATACTAAAAGGCCTATGTTATACGGTCATTACGCAGACACATGGCGGGAAAGTAGTACATCTTGGTACTCACAGCTGGTCCCTGACTTCCGGGCTCACCAGAAGCTCCACCATCTCCTTGCTCTCCCTGAAATGCATTAAATAACGTTTTAGTTAACATGAACCGTTCTACTGAAACATTTATAATATTGTGGCTGCAGCAATATTTGTGTTGTAATTGTTGCTTCACACAAGCCTTATGCTCTATTAATTAAGTATCTATTAAGTAAATGTCTTATTTCAAAGCAGAGGTTATGAAAACAATGGTACCTTAGCTCCGGGCAGACCTGCCTCTCCCTTCATACCTGAACCTCCGGAAGGACCCTGGAGACAACGACAAAAAACGTTTGATTAGGATCATGTACATTGGAATGATTCCACAAAATTAATTCCTTATATTATAATTACTCCGTTAAAATATATAATCGAGAATCATTATGACTTACGGGAAGACCGGGGTATCCGGGCTCTCCGTCAGGACCAGCATTTCCGCGCTCTCCAGAGGCACCAGGGGGTCCAGATTGTCCACGGTAGCCAGGGTCACCAGGTTGTCCCTTCTCAGCAGGGGGACCGGCAAGACCAGGTGGGCCAGGCTCTCCTGGGGGACCAGCAAGACCAGGTCGGCCAGTGTTTCCATCAGGGCCTGGAGGGCCTGCCTCACCCTAAAGACAAAACAGATCCAAAGATATCAGGATTAGATGGACGTTAATATTCATTGACCCAAGCTCTCATTATGATAATTTATCGTGGATTACTTTAGCCTATTAATGGGTTTTCAGAAAGGGAGGGAAATACGGGAAAGCTGCTTACATCGTCTCCCTTAGCTCCTGCCTCTCCACCGGGACCTCGCTCTCCTGGCATACCCTGAAAACATTGATACACGTGTTTTAATACATGATTCATCAGGTTTCCTATTGTGATACATGCCATTTGAAAGTAAACATTGTTCATCATATCAACGACATGAAATTCTTCTCAACACAACTTGAAAACATCAACTTCTGATTGACTTGAAATGTCCTCAAAATTCGCTGTACTCACCATGGGTCCCTGGGGACCAACGTCACCCTGGACACCGATTTCTCCGGGAATACCCTGAAATAGAAGTATTTGAATGATTATTCGGACACTAACAGATAAATATAAAGCACGTGCTTATCGTATCTCATCCTTCCACAGAGAACAATTAACTAAACCCCTAACTTCATCGACAAATATTCCCACAAATAAAGCATTGTATTACCTAGAAAACATTATTTTTGTGGCACAGATGTATGCATAGATGTAATTTATTATACACTGCCTCTTGAGGAAATTATAGCTGCCACCTACTCTCTCGCCGTCATTTCCAGCGGGTCCAACTTGCCCGGGTGGTCCAGGCTCGCCAACAGGTCCCATACCTCCGCGTTCGCCTGGGAAACCACGCTCTCCCTGTGGCACACAAGAAAGAGCTATGTATGATGTGATAAAAAAACATATTAACAATCTCAATTAAACCACTCTGAAATAAACACACAATGAATTTACCATGACACGACTCCAGGTAAATTTAAAAAATGATGAACTTTCTGTACAATTTACTTTTATATATTTCCTCTTGAAAATCTGCGGTTAGAATCATCTAGTGCTATAATTACCCTGTTTCCAGTGCGTCCTGTTTGACCGGGTCCTCCGGGTGTGCCGGGCTCACCCTCAGTTCCAGCCTCTCCAGGGGGGCCGGGAAGACCTGGAGCTCCCTTGACATATGAAATGTTTCCATGTAAATATCATACTTTCAAAATTATATAATGAAGCAATCACAGAGACAAATGTTCGTTTGGAAATCGCCTGAAGGATACTACAAACGCAACACGCTATGTACTCACCTGGAATCCAGGTCCTCCAGGGGGTCCCTCAGCGCCTCTAGGGCCGGGCTCTCCCTGAAAGGGCAAAGTAGAATACTCTTCATAAATGCAATTTTTACAAAACACTATGAAATGTTAAGAATAAGACTCGTGAAGGTCCGGGTTAGAATGAGCCTTCAGTAACCGGTGATCGGGTGGTCAGGCTCGCTGACTTGATTGACACATGTCATCGGTTCCAAATAGTGGAGATCGATGCTCATGCTGTTGATCACTGGATTGTCCGGTCTAGACTCGATTATTTACAGACCGCCGCCTTATAGCTGGAATATTGCTGAGTGCGTCGTACAACTAAACTCACTCACTCACTGTTAAGAATAATATGAAAAGGTAAGCTATCAACGTAAATAAATTATTGTCTTGTGCATTTACAAGTTGCAAATTAACGTAGGTGAGCAGATTTACTGATGTGAGAGAGAAAGGGCAAATGATAATTCCTCATAATGTCAGCATTTATTTATCGGTGCACAATATCTGCTGAACTTTGAAGCTAAAACGTTGTTGTGACTTCTTCATCAACTGTTTAGTCAGAGAATCGATCTTCACTCATCGTACCTCGGGTCCAGGTGCTCCCTGGGGGCCCATTTCACCAGTTGGTCCGTTGTCGCCTGAGGGTCCACGTGGACCTTGTAGTCCGGGGTTTCCAGACTTGCCAGGGTTTCCCTGAAGTGTACAGAAAGTAATCAGCAACACAATAACGTTAGGAAATTGTAGGAAATATCAAGAAAGAAATTACCGGTGATATGGACCAATAACAACTTGTCTACTACCAACTGCTATTATTCCCTCGGTTATAGCATCTGGTGACTGCAGACTAACGCTTATACAACATTATATTTGACTGAACATATCTGGTACAAATATTTTTAGGTTGCATGGAAAATCCTCAGACATGAGATATACAAAACTAAAACCATTAACGTGCTCTTAGGCTAAACATTTCCCTCTTGACTGGAACGCTTGGAAGTAGAAATTCGAGAGTCCATTCGATATCATTGGCAGCGTCAGACTGCCATCTATGATGTGGCTGCTGCATATGTGACACGTACTCTCTCTCCAGTTGGGCCTTGAGCACCCTGCTGTCCTGGGGAACCTGAGGGTCCGGGGGCACCAATCTCGCCGGGGCGTCCATCGTTACCAGATGGACCCTGAAACAGGACAATAGATATAATTATTCAGGGCAATAATTAATATATTTTGATAAATGTTACTGTCGTTTTCAAAGTAATGAGCTCCACCTGTAATATACGTGTTGGAAGAAATAAACATATGCATATCAATATAATTCTTTAGTGAGGTCATGTAAGGTATTTAATGTAAGTGTATTATGTTTTATCTCTTGTTACTTACAGAAGGTCCAGGTGGTCCAGATTTTCCATCAGGTCCAGATGGTCCAACTGCACCCTGAAAAAGGAAAGCAAATACATACATACATGAATTCACCAGTATGGGATAATATTATTTTTTGTAAGTTTTCATTACCAAATAGAGATATAGAAGCTAAATTCACACAGGAAAACATAACTTTAGAGATTCTTTAAATTACATCATATCACGGGTAAGCACTGTCATCATCAATGAAGGTACAGGAGAAACTTTATACAAATTTTCGTACCGCCTCACCAGGGGGTCCGGGGGGACCTGGACGACCAGCCTCTCCCTAGAAGTAAATGAAACATACTATGCAGAAGACATTCATCAAACAGTACAACCATGAGCTAATATTTAAACAGATATTATGAAAACACTGCATTGCCATGATAATTACTTTCTATCAGCACAGGTGTAGATTTTGTTACTAGAGGGAGGGGGCTTCAGTGTGATTTGAAAATGTATATATCATATAGAAGCTGTGACTTCTCTCATCATGGATTTAGGTTTTGTAACCTAGTGAGGAAAGGAAAAAAAAGCGCAATAAGAACAAGGATAAACGTTTTTACTACATTTATATAATGACTTACAGTAAGCTTCATGTGCAAGAACCAAATCGTATTAACAGAAGGGGATACAAAGAGATGCAATGCATTGAACAATGTGATAGCGCATTCGTTTTCGCAGATGTGATACAGCAGATAACGACACGTGTGACCCTTACCATAGAGCCTGTCTGTCCCCTCTCTCCGCGGACTCCGGTTTCTCCATCTTCTCCCTTAGGTCCGGGGTTTCCTGGACTTCCTGGATTTCCACGCTCACCGGGAAGGCCCTGCGTTCATATGATAGTATATAATTGCATCTATAGGGACAGACATCCATTTACCATATTCATTATTGAATATTTCCAAATGATACTATCTCCCAACTATTTAGGAAATTACTCAAACATTCGTCGTGTTTTATTTTTAAACGTGAAAAGATATGTCTTATCAGAACATCTTGTGTGAACGTGCTTTGTATGTGAGGGATATACATTAACCTATCCTCCGACTTACCCTCTCTCCACCGGGACCCTGGGGTCCGGCGGCTCCAGCACCACCACGGCTGCCCTGCAAAACATCAAATGATGAAACTAAACGGAAGCATTATTCGAAGATATTGTCATGGTCTTTTCTGTACTTTCAGTCAGAATACGGCGGACAACTTTTATACTTTGTAAGTTATCATGTGGTCAGTACAAAAACGTTTTCTGTTTTCTGCAAATTTGTCTCTTAAACTGACAAAACAACGTGACATGTACATACACGTCTTCCCTGGGTTCCTGGGGGTCCTGGTTGTCCTCTGTCTCCAGGGGTACCTGGGGAACCCTTCAGACCTTGTTCTCCTTTGTATCCAGCTTGACCTTGGGCTCCCTGTGCAAATGGTTAAGATATCTTTTATCATCCAAAACTGAGATATTGCTTGTGTGAGAGATATCGTTTTGACAGTAGGTTTGTACAATGCCGAGCCGAGACAATGCTATGACGTCATGAACTTGATGACGTCACAATGCTATGACATCACTGCACTGCAGTTCTAATGGCAGTACCATGCTCAGAGATGTACATATTCCATTGAAAACTAATGAAGAGTGGTTTTTGATGATAAATAGAATAGAATTTCACCCTCGTGTCTTCTGATATCAAATATATCCCAATTAAATCGCAAGCCTCCGATATTTGTAACCTCGGATATTTGTGGTGATATATTTGATATCAAAAGACACTCGGGTGAGATTCTCTATATAATCACCCTTACAAGTTCGCATGTTTGATATTGTTTATTGGAGTCTAAGTTATACGGTATCTGATAGCCTGAATTTTAATATTATTAAATAAAATGCTTTATTGCATTCTACTTATAGTAAGAATCATCTATGCAAGTTTTGGCCAACGTGTAATTCTGAGGATTACTAAAAACTTACGGCGCCTCCCTTAAGACCAGGCAATCCAGGGCTTCCCAAAAGTCCAGGGGTCCACGGGGTCCAGGGAATCCTGGAGATCCTGCTGGGCCTGGGTCACCCTGAAGTGAAAATATAAACATGTAAGCTCAGTATTATGAATGTTAGGTCATATTATATAACACTCCCTCCCAATACAATTACAACATATAACAGAATGAATGCAATACAAAATGAATCAACTCAGACTTTGGTTTCTGCCTGAGATCACTGGCATGATGGTATATATCTTTTTGTTAAAATGTTGTTTCCTTGTCACATGCCTTATAATATATAGCTTCCTAAACAAGATGATATATTGCTTCTTAAACACGACCCCAAGGATACTTACAACGGTACCCTTCTCGCCATCACTTCCAGGCTGACCTGGTGGTCCGTTCAATCCGTCCTCTCCGTTAGCTCCAGCCATGCCATTTTCACCACGAGATCCCTGGGGTCCAACTCCTCCCTTAGGCCCCTTAGCACCAGCGTCTCCCTGAAAATTGCAAGTTTTATGTTACAGTCAACAAATAGCGTGATATGAATATAAAAGAATAATGGTATTCGTATTGACATTGCAAATAGTTGTTCTATCGTAGTGGACATTGCGGGCCTTGATTGCGATTCTTTCTGCTATCTATATGGTGCCTTTAGCTTATCACTATGCCTATTAAAAATGTCAACCAAGGTTACGTTTTCTGTCATTAAAACACAACTAATGACCATTCATTAGGCATCAATAAATTGAAACTTCTGCTCATATTGGGCGTTTACACACATGCCTGCACATACTTGTTTATTTTTACTGAGCAACAGATTAATAAAAGTGTAAAGTGGTTATAGAAACAAATTCCTCCTTACCTTAGCTCCAACCATTCCTGGTGATCCAGGGGGGCCGGACGCACCCATTGCTCCAGGAGCTCCAGGTTGTCCAGGAAGACCATCAACACCACGAAGACCTGATTGTCCAGAAGAACCATCAGGACCCCTCTCGCCAGACTGACCACGGGGTCCAACTGGGCCAGGTGCTCCAGATGGACCTGGGGCACCGACGGCACCCTAAAGAAAAAAAAAAAAAGTTCGTAGTCGACCTCATGTTTTATTTTCAGACACAGGCTTCTTTCGTTTGTACTATACACCAGTATGTTTTTTCTCTCGTGAAAATATACAACCATCCAAATGATACATTCAATTGTCTATAGCTTGATATATATTATATAGTATTGTATGTGGTTTGGGCATGGCATGCAAGTCTCACATTATTTTAGCAAAGGAAGAGATGATTTGTATGAATCAATTAATGCAAAGAACTACTTACACTCTCTCCTGAAATACCCTGTTCTCCGCGTTTTCCGGGGAAGCCGTTGAAACCCTGAAAAGAACAAAGAAACACAATTTTGCTAAAGAAGGGGATAACATTTCCAGAAAATGCCCCAGACAAACGTAATGTTTGGTAGACAATTCCCGCCAACTATTCATTCATATAATTATTCACCATGACATCTTATGAGTGCCCTATAATAGATGATCTTATATTAAATTAAATTAATGCACTGATATTGTTAGATCTTTAATGTTTGTGAACTGTGTTGACAAGACTTACTCTGTGTCCCTTAGAGCCAGGAAGTCCAGGCATACCAGATGGTCCAGGGGCTCCCTGAAGAAGTAATCACAGGACCTGTGTATATGACCTAGTTGGCATATAACTTCATAGCTCCGATATGATCCCATTATCGGAAATAATAAATATAAGTAAACTAATAATTTTTTTCGACTTTTGATAGAATGATACTTCGAATATATTATACACAAATATATCAAATACAATAGCCTCAAACGCAATTCAGCATATAAATATTTAAAAAAATGCACAAGGCAAATGACAAGAATGTATTTTACCCTAGCGCCGGGGAGACCAGGAGCGCCTGCTTCACCATTACGTCCACCGTCGCCCTGAAATCACAACAAAAACTGAAAGTTGTCCTCTAAGCGTATTGGGTGACAAAAAGAATATAAGCGTCGAATCTCTATCACATCGGATAAGCAGAATGAATGTAATGTAATGATGTATTTGGTTGTACTCTCACCTCAGGTCCGCGAGATCCAGATGGGCCTGGAGGTCCACGGCTTCCGGGTGCTCCCTACAAGTTCAGAACAATTTCAAATATAAGACTTATTCAGGAAAGATATATCGATAGATTTTACACAATTAACCCCAGACTGTTCCCTTTTACTCCAGACAATTCACCCCAAAACCGTTCTTCATATAAACTATTCATGATTATTTAAAACATAGGTGTTAAATCTGAGAATGGTCAAATCATTCGGAACATACACAACAACAATGACGAAGATTCTATTATTAATTTAAATCTTATAACAATATTTATAATAATAGGCAGTCTACTGTAAATCTTAAGTGTAAAGAACATCTATTACGAAGCGACAAGGGATACGAACCTGTGGTCCGCTGTCTCCAGTTTCGCCTCTGATTCCACGGCCTCCTTGGGGTCCCTGAAATTCAGCACAATTACAGATAATAAAAACATAAAGGTTTATAAACCAGTTGGTTTTGAAGCATTTATGCACCACTGGACATGAACTCAATTGTTTTACTGTTTAACATCTGTCAGTTTTATACCAAAACTTACGTTGGGTCCTGGGGATCCAGTCAATCCACGTGGTCCAATGGGACCCTGAAATCATATATATGAAAGTGATACAAATATGGACACACTACAGATATCTCGATAATATTGAACACGCTTTATGGATAGCTACTTCATTATTTCGTGAGTGCGACGTTTCGATACAGATTTTTGTACCGTCCCAATTTCTAAAATGCTACTCAATTAGGATATCTCGGTAGTTAGCAGAAATAGGAAGACATTCTCCAGAAGGAGTATGAGTATTTTAGAGCTCCCGATATTTCCACATAGACAGACTTTCTTAGAAGATATAATCTCAACGGGATCAACAGAAAGAGAATGAAAGATATGCTGGACATAGGCTCTCGTTCAGAGCCTGATATGATGTGCAGCATTTAAAACAATTATTCAGTCGATGAGTCAACAATAATGTGACGATAATGTTTTGCTTTTTGCTTGGTACAGTTATATCATTCATACACAACACTATTCATTATATATAGCAATATGAAAACAAACATGATAAGTGAGATGAAGTGATATAAGTGGCATGATGACCAGAAAGTCATGAACTTGCTGTATTTGCATACAGAGTAAGCATTGCTTTTATGGAGATTGTAACTATGGTTCAATTTGGCTTTGGGACTTTCAAAAGGTGGACGTATATTTGGTACTTTTCTGGAATATATATATATTCCTTTGTTATATATACCTTTTGTATATTATTTCCTTTGATAAATATCAAGTTCAGAAAAAACATTGCGTTTTCATGAAAGCCCAGGAGGACTGTTTTCGGATCCAGGTATATAATAGTGTCTGTTTTGTTTTCAATCCAATTTAAAAGGTCTTGCCACAATCTATTTACATATCTACATTCAAACATCAGATGAACAATGGTTTCTTTTTCAGTAGTGGTGATTCTGTTATATTATAATTGTATAGGTTTTATTGGTTGTGAGAATTCTGTGGACAATACGATATTGAAACTATCTTTCGTTAGTGTTATGAAAAGCTCTAAATGGTATAAAATGATAGCTATTCCATAAGTCAGGTAGAAAATTGAGATGAAGGTCTTTTCCCCATTTACATTGATAACCTAAACTTGGAATCGAGTTAACCTTGATTAGAAGCATTGTGTAGAAAATATTGCAGCCTTTCGTATTTTCATAGAGTATTTTTACATTCGTGTAAAATAAAGGGTAAATGTCTTTGATATAGTTTCCTACTTACAACTTGAGCTTGAAGATACTGAGGTCCGAAGGCGGCTCCACCAGCCTTGTTGGAGAACCGTCTGGCGTAGTAGCGGCGGTAAGCCTGGTCAGCTGACTGAGGGGAAATGGCAGGGGATCACATGAAACGTCCATCGTTACGTAGTATATGCCTAAACACATTTGCACACACAAGATTCTCTTGCATAGATGGCTTTATTGCTTCCTCGCTTTATCTTTTATTTGGGCCATGCAATATTATATCATTTAGCACTACCTAGTGTGCATAAGATCAGAGAATGACTGAATTAGAGGGAGAGGGACTTACCATTTCGCTCTCTCCTGGGGAGCCGGGGGGTCCGGGGACGGCATTAATTCCATCAGCGCCAGGCTCTCCCTGGAAGTCAGATCAACAGCTACATGCAACTGGGATATAACATAGCAGTCAATGTACCACCAAAAAAGACGTATGTATGAACGGTAATGACTATTATTGAAAATTCATGCTGTTTTGAACTAAGACGTAGTTCCGCTAGGCATTCATATCGGTAAGATAAAGTGCAGTGATACCTTGAACAATTTCTGATAATGACAACTGCCGTCCTCTTTGTAACTTTTGCTAGCTAGTTTAGGTGTCAAGGAATTTATCGATCCCATTGGTTCACCTGGTATCACCACTGATGGAAATGTGCTGTCGGAGTAGTGAAAAGGACCATGTTCTCTCACGATTATGGAATGATTCTTGTTGTTTTCATTCTTATGTGTCAGGGATACGAGTAACATCTCTTGTGCCTTTTTACTTGTATTTTCATCATGTTTGTTTTGAAGAATATTCTTGCTACGTCTAAAGAAAACGAGAGGGAGGGAGAGTGGTTGAATTTTCAGCAACAGTTTCCAACATAGTCTGTCTCACAGTTCCTTAACCACAGCAGTCACAAGCACGGCCCTTTTCACAAAATAAAAGCCCTGAACGAAGGAGGTCTAGAATTTCCTCAGGTTCTAAATGTCCCAGCTCACTGGGGCTCCTGTTTTTGGAACAGTTTGGTTCTATCAAAATGCTATATTTTCAGTGACTATATGTTAGTCTACTTATACTCACTTGCTCTCCCTTTGGACCTTGTATGCCTCGTATTCCATCCTCGCCAGGCAGACCCTGAAATATAGCAACGACAAATATATTATCCATGCTCAAACAACAAACACGTAATCGGAAGTGCCTTAAATCACTGTATTTATCACTAAAACAAGACGAAGGACTATCAGGCAACTTGTCACAACAACTGGTGATGATGACTTACTATGACGGCAGCCATGACTCTCATCTTTTTCTGCAAAGAAAAAAAACACACCATGAAATATCCACAACATCATGACAACAAACGAGACCAATGAAATGTTCAATGTTGAAAGAAACATGAGATAACATTTAAAACATAGTTATTTATTATTTTGTTACAGTCGAATAATAGTTCAGTCCGTCACAATTTGTGTGTTATAACGTTAAATGTTGTTACGACAAATCTGTATTTGTATCTGTTTTGCAGATACCTACCTGCTCTTTGGTGAGAGCGGAGGCTGAAAGGATAAAGCGCTGTGTCAAAAGTTACACATTCATAATATACTATATGAACAGTATATGTACATACCAATGATAGATGAACTAACATAGTAATTATAATAAACGTGATCAAAGTGTTACTAACATGATACCCATACAGAATAATTGAAGTTTGTCTATTGCTTGTATCTTACATTATTAGATATTACTTTCAAATGGTTTCGTTTGACTGTATGAACGAGACCGGTGAAGCTTCGGGTTAGAATACTGATCTGCACTTACCCATGCTTGTCATAAGAGGCGACTAACGGGATAGGGTGGTCAGGCTCGCTGACTTGGTTGATACATGTCATCGGTTCCCAGTTGCGCAGATCGATGCTCATGCTGTTGATCACTGGATTGTCTGGTCCAAACTCGATTATTTACAGACCGCCGCCATAGAGCTGGAATATTGCTGAGTGCGGCGTAAAACTAAACTCACTCACTCACTCACTGCATGAACGAAATCCGGTGACATTCTAATAAGGGTAATAGTCAACGTCTCATGAGTAATTATTTAAACGTTCAAAATAATCACTGCATATTAAAGTGGTTGACAGAAGCAGAAAGAACCGTTGAAGATGCAACGAATGTACATGAACTTCCACATACAGTTATTGCTTTGACGAATGTGTGTGTATGTGTATGTTAACCAGGGCCTACTTTCACAAAGCACTAAGGTGATCGTAAGTCCCTAAGGTAACCTTAGAGTTAAAGAATGGGCGTTAAGGTTAACCTTAGTAAAGATTGTTTCATGAAAGGAGACCCTGGACGTTCACATAGTATCTGGGAGAGTTACTTCCACATTCTGTCATCAATAGCGTCAGTATATCTCAATACTAAAACAATTTCTCCAAACATTATCCTTATCGAAACAACAACGTGACTAATTTCTCTCACAACGCGAGACCATTCGAACACCGGATTTAAGTAAATTAACTTGACAGTTACCACGATTAAGTACGCAATTCGAATACCGGATTTAAGTTTAAGCATGGTTTTAAATCATTCCTAAACTTACTTATATTTCATTGACCATCTCATCTATATAATAATAAAAATACAATCTATTGAGCAGGATGTTAGTCGTACTTACCGTAACCGTCACAGTCAGCAAGGAAAGAACAAAGGGCCTCGCCATTGTCGCAAATACATTCAAAACATTTGTCCTCTTTATTTGGTAGCCAAACTGCTCCGTTTTCGTATTGAACTCCTTGATATGTGCACCCTGAAAATATAAGGATGAATGTTAGACGCAAATAGGATGAAACCCTGCACACAGATAAACCACAGATACACCGTCTAGTTGAATGATGTTTGTTGGTTTGTTGTTTAACGCCGCACTCAGCAACATTCAAGATATGTGGGGTTGCCTGGAAAAACATTGAGTGTGGACCGGAAAATCCAGTGATCAACAGCATGAGCACCGATGTTTGGATACGATTCCATTAATCGCCTAATACGACAAGCATGGGTTCCTGAAGACCAATTATAACCCGGTTCTTCATGGGTGAATTCAGTGGGAAAGTGATCCAGAGCACCTTGAGCTGGAACACCTGTTGTTTGAGCATAGGGACATTTCACCAGCAGAACTATGATTAGAATTATATGTTTATTTTATTATGGAGTGTATTTACTCTTACAGTATATCAAATCTTATGTGATGTAGAAGCTCCAAGTAGAATCTAGTATTGCTTTAAACCAAAGAAATAAGCCATAACTCCACAGGAATCGCTCGAATCAAGACTTCAACTTTTATTTTATTATTATTATATTATTAGCTGTGAGTGTACTTCGACAGAACAGAAAGTAAAGGGAATGCAACCATTGGCTCCATCACCGCGGGTGACAAGTCAGCTTACTAAGTAACGTTATCAACCAAAGCATCGCTGAAAAGAGCTTGCTTTTAGGGGGCAGTTTGAGTTGGACCAAATGGGCGAGGAGAGTTTCGTTTTCTCCAAATTGAGAGTATTCCAGTTCATTTAAAGAATGGATTTTAAAAGATTGAATGTTAGCGATGAAGAACGGTTAGAGACAAATTAACGTATGCGTCAATGCGATAAAAATGTAAGCTATCTCTGCCAAAATGGTCAACACCAACAAATATTCTTCAGGAAGCACGCCAGTATTGCAATGTGTGGGTTACTTAACAACACATTTTAAGGACTGCTGTATGACTGTCACGAAATAGTTCAAAGGAGACATTACTCAAATATGTTACACATATTGACGTCTATAACCCAAAATGTTGATAAAGCAAATGGAATATCGAAATCTGAAAAATAAATTCGACAAATCTAGATTTAGGATTTTGTGTCATACAGTCTTGTCGAATTCGAATTTCTCTTCGCCGTCCACAAGAGAACTATGCCCTGCATGTCCGGCATATTTGTATAAGGTGACTGTATGTGCGATTGTTCAGCCCATGTTGAACGAAATGCATCCCATGTGAATGGAATTGTATTGTTATATACAGAAGCATGTGCGATTGCTTCCACATGTGCAGCTCTGACTTCAATTTGCAAGTCTGGCCAGGATTTGGCGAGGGTGAGGAATGTGGGTGGATATGGAATCCTGGTTAAGTATCTTAATGAGGGGTTAATATTCAGATGATACATTTAACTTTCTCCATAGCGACACGCACTCTGACTCCCCTGGATGTCTGTCATATGCTTATGATAATCTGTATTCTCTTTACGCTTTTACAGTTTAATCATATATATATATATATATACACACACACATGGCAATTATAATTATGACTTTATGACGTGACAATAACAATAGTAGTCACAATGTCACTGTTATTGTGACGTCATAACTGTCATTTACTCCCTGAAGAAATTACTGAAACATGTAGGAGTTGAATTAGCTCTGTGTTTTTTTCAATCTAATTATATATAACTAACTTTATACCTGTGAACTTTTTTTCATACATCTTTCATATATATAAATATATGTATATAATGTGTGTGTGTGTGTGTTCTCAGTGTGCTGTGATTAGGCATTATGTTTGATGTTCATAAGAATAGCGTCAGATAACCAAATAATGATAATTAGGAGTGCGAAAGGAAATGAAAAGCCTTAATTGGAAAGAATTGATTTGAATACAGTCTTTAATAACGTGACAACAATATTTTGTGGAAAAAGATTCCAAAGAACAATGATTAAATACTGTTTAAGGTGTATGCGTGCTTATACTTTATTTCATCTGGGGAGATTCTTCACAGGGCCCAATATTCGTCACTCACTCACATACATGTAATGTGTTTGCAAGGAACAGCTCTGTAAAGCAAGGGAGATAACTGAGCTGAAGCGTTAAATGGCAAATAGAAATGCCGCTTTTCACAATATCCCAGGAACATCGCTACACTACAACTGGGCGTCACATGTGCACATGTGGTGAATCGAAGCCTGGTCATCGGCGTGACGTGTGAGTGAGTTTAGTTTTACGCCGCACTCAGCAATATTCCAGCTATATGGCGGCGGTCTGTAAATAATCGAGTCTGGACCAGACAATCCAGTGATCAACAGCATGAGCATCGATCTGCGCAATTGGAAACCGATGACATGTATCAACCAAGTCAGCGAGCCTGACCATCCGATCCCGTTAGTCGCCTCTTACGACAAGCATGGGTTACTGAAGATCAATTCTATCACGGACCTTCACGGGTGCGTGCCGTGTGGATGTCAACCACTTGGCATGCTCACCGCCCGAATGAACATAGCTTATAATAGGTGGTTTGTAAGTGAGTGACAGGTGTTGTACGACGGGAGAACATACCACTGCCACATACATGTAGACCAGACAAACCATTGGCTCATACTATATACAATGATCTATGCCGTTTCTTTGTGATTACAAACAATCAGCCGGACAGTTGTTTAGTGATTATCTTCTATTGTAGTATATTCATTCAACCCTTAACAAACCCGTTTGCAGTGGTATAGTAGGTATTTAAGTACATATTTGACATTTTGCTTCTTAAATGAATTATATTTTAGATATCTATTGGTATGACAATACATAAATTAAAATCTGCTAACTAGTCCACCATATCTGGCAGTCCTAAGTCAGATATTATGTGGTGCATAGTGACGTTACCAAATGCCATGCCACCCAAATACCTTAGCTAATGACTAACAAGACATGTTTATTACTGGAAACCAGTCTGTATAAACATACGCTCTCTGCAAAGGTTATCAAAACGTATGTGCCTTACATTAAAAACAGATGATCATTGTTTTATACCAAAACAAACATGTTCCCAAAGCACAGATCACGGAAGAATCCGCATTTTTGCATTTTACAGAAAAGAAAACCCAGCCAAGCCTTTTCATAAACTGTTTTTGTAAATTTTTCGGTCATTACTTTGGGTATGAATAGTGAAATGTAACAATAGACTATGTCAATAAGTTATAGACTGAATTCAAGGAAATCTACGATAAGAATTTCGGTATATCGGATACAAATTCGAAAATAATAGAAGCAATGACAGTAATATTATATAACCTCTCGTTGGGTATTGCAAAATTGTTTGGTGTTTCAGGGTTGATTTGAACAAGTGGACTGAATTGACCTAGTTGAAGGAGCTTTATTGAAACACAACAGAGCAAAGACAGTCTCATCAAACGTAGCAACAGATGTAATTTGAAAACATTTTTAACCCGACAATTGTTCAATTTTATTCGTCAGTGGAGAACCAAATCCAAGTGGTTATCTGATTACAACTGAGTTCCACAGTTAGGAAAGTGATATTCGATATCACAACCCACAACCATAATAAACTACAGTTACAAGCTTCAAGGAATGAGATGAGGTGAGTTGAGAAGTTGCATTATTTCAGCCATGTTGCAATCAGACCAAATTTACACATATGCACAAGTCCATCAGTCAGACTCAAAAATAAAAATAAAAAAAATTAATTAAGATAATTTGTATTAATACCCTGTACCCAACTTGGAACTTCAAAAGCAAAATGATAATCGTTGTTATTAATAGGTTGCAATGCATCAGAGTAACTGCTGTTGATGTGCACATATGCACATTAAGGATGAGTATACCCGCTCTTAATTAGAATGTAATGTTGTAATCTTAATTATATGTAATGCATACAAGGGCTGAGATGACTGAAGAAGTGAAGAAGAAATGAATACCAATACAACAGCGACTAAACTAATAAATTCCCCGGTTGAGATTCGCTGACAAAGAATTCCACGTTTACAATTGCTGACGTGGTGATACGTGGCAGCCATGTTGCTGACCCAGGGTGACCTAGATTTGGTGCCAAATGTCACGTGACATAATAATCTGTCATTGGCCGCAGTTCAGCCTAACATGTCCGATCAACAGGTGGACCGTACCATCAGGACAAATATACAAAAATAATGTAATAATGTAATAAGAATAATTACGTTGCCAAACTTTACTTTCACTTTAAGGTAAGTTTGTATACATTTAGAGATATTTCTAAATAACTTAACACTACAACTGTCGCAGGCACTATACACTAAGTAACAAATGCATGAATTAGACAAATACGAAAATACGTATCCTAAATATATGGCATACATGTTGTCAATGACATTTCGAGTAAGGAAAATAATGTAGAAATTCATCGACGTTGTAAATGTAATACTGTTTCAATCACATAAACACTATCGCATTGTCACATACATGGTTATACAAAGAAACAGAAACATCGGTCAGCATCAAACTCAAAAGCATCATAAAATGACAAATAAATGATATAATTCTCCTACCTCGATCTTTCTCCGGGGCGGCTGCCACTGTAACAACCAGCAGAACAACTACACAGACACACTCCTGAAGGCGCATGGTGAACGCCGTTCTATAGTCCCTTCCCACACGTACAACTGTTAAACCATCCAAACTAATAAATAGGTGGAATTGGTTGCTTTCTTTGGGTAAGAAGCCGAAAAGGCTTCTTTTTAACTAGGAAGAGCCGAGCTAGCAAGCGTTACCGCCTGCAACAACGGGTTCCTAGGACAATTTATAATTTCTGGCGTGCAGCCTTCCAGGACTGCGACCAGAGTCTTTTGAATATGCTCGAGTTTTAATATACCCTAAGAAAAAAGTTAACCAATCAGGACTCCAGAATAGGACGAGCTCTGACCCCCAAACTGACTATGAGCCAGGCCTGCCTCCCTCTTTCAAAGCTCCATGCAGTGTTCCTCTCAGCGTTGTAACCCTGCCCCCCTCGTTCAGTCCCCGGTTCCAGATTCTGCTGCAGTCAGCTGGCGAGCTCATCAATTTCAACCACTGGATGTCTTTGACCTTTCTCTGACCACCACTTAACACAGAACCTAGAGCAAAAGACGGATACATTTCATTTCGAACTTGCAGATGTTTCAGACAAAATTACATTTTAAGTCCTTGCATAATATACTTCAGAAACAATTTGTGATTTAAAAAAAAACCCTATTCCTTTCATGTTAATTTAATCAAATACTTTTATGATTTCGTTCATATTTGAGGAAGGATCGAATATAATTGGACATTATCAATTATTATCATATACATATATTAGTTTTCAAAATAGAACCACTATATTGGAATCAATTAAGCATCTGTTCATCTGTAAATTTCGTAATGAGAGTATGAAGCTTTAATGCAAAAACCACAGTAAAGAAAAATGAAGTTTTTGATGACCTGATAGAAGGTAATAACATCAAACAAATTCGTGAGGTTATAAAAAAGTTTGTCACGTTTTGACTGGCAGGTAACGCAAACGATCGGCCATTAACCCCTGTGTGGTATTTTTCCCTTACAGATGTATTGGATCTGCTGAGTCGTCAATTTTTTCACCATTTGTGATAATTTGACACCACTACAGGAATCTCAGTTATCACTGTCAGCATTGCAGATAAAGTCAATGTAAACGGAGAAGACATGATCCCCGGTCTTAGAACTGCCTGACCTTCATTTCCAAAATGTTCAACATTTCAAATACTTGATGATTAAATCCACATAAACAAACTTCAGCCTTCAAAGAGACCTGCAATAAAAAGATATCATATATTTCTAATTTGATAAAAGAGGCTCAATCTGAGAAATTGGAAACATTATCGACTGGTATGAACTGCTTGTAATATGCCCCGCCCTCTTGTCCTAGATCGAAATAATACATATACATACGACATGTGAGAACTTAAGTCTTTAATTAGAATCACGTGTATATCTATTCATAGAAAAACTGCAAATTAGGTTTCTAACTTTGCTGATAACGAGAGAAAATGTTTGTTTAATACGAAAGCAATGCTCTTTTACTTAATCTGCTGAGTGTGGTGTCTTTCAGAAGTGTAGAACACTCTAAAATGATACAATGGCAACTGCTCCCTAACGTGAAAAAGTAACAGAGGATAAGGTCTAGACAGATGCCCTGTCAACAAGAATGCTTTGGCAAAGTTCTAATTAAACACAATACAATTTGTTATGATTATGGAAACGATTCTGTCAGTTTATATTAATGTGAAGTGTCAAAGTTCATTCCCAATGATAGCAATTCAGAAACACTATATACATATGTATGTATGTATGTATGTATGTATGTATGTATGTATGTATGTATGTATGTATGTATGTATGTATGTATGTATGTATGTATGTATGTATGTATGTATGTATTAATGAAGATTTGGGCAACGTATTTTTTCTCGAGAAAGATGAGTCAATTGTATTAGCATCTCTTTCTTATCTCAAGAGTACTTTAACACTACGGGAAGGCATATATCATACAGTCATATTTACATGTAACACGTGTTAATCAACAATTCTATCTTACTGACACCGAACACAAAATAACTTTGGGATCTGTGAATGTGTCTGTGTGTTAGAACAAGGGAGGAATACACTTTAACATATTTTGACGAAACATGATTTGCGAAGTGTTTCAAGGCAATAAATACCAAGATAAACCGATACAGTATACAATATATGAAATACGATCGTTAAAATACAAAAATGTAAAAATTATAATTTGGCATTTGTTTCCGCAGTCAAGTAGTCACAAACTCGAAATCACAACCACAAAACATGAAATGCGCGAAACGGCATGGCCCGTACAGGCACCGTAGACACTGTGACAGCGCGTTGAAATCCTCGACCCAGAGAACGAAGAACCACAGTCTCACGATAAGCGAATGTCGGGAAGCCTGGTACTGTTGTTATCAGCGGTCATCTCTGGAAGACAAAGGGTCAGCGTTTATCAGGAGAAAAGAAACTCAGGGTGCAATTGTTTTGCACATGCCATGCCCAGATGCCAGTTATACACATAGGCACTTGGCCATTCTCCACGCTATGTTAAAACCTAAGATGCTTGCATGGATGTTTTTATTTTTCTGAGTTTGTTTTTACTACTACTCTTAAAGCGTGCAGACGAAAAGCAATACGTCTAAATTTCCACGTATTTTGGGTGGGAATTAGAATTGATCTTGTCCACGTCATGCCAATAATATCCAGATAAAGTGTTGGCTTCGTATTTTATGTCCAGCCACAATGAAACAGCAGTATTTTTTAAATGCCAGTCATTACAGAGACTTCCTGAAAGTTTTGATTTAAAGTGGATCAGTAGTACGACATTATTAGAAACCCGACAAATTACAAATGGAACATATAGTGGTGTTTATTAGTTAGAATGGAAGTGTTTTGGATAATGCAGAATATATATAGACGCTTTAATGACTATCTAATCGGGAACATTACTTTAACCGCTGCAGCCATCACACATGGGATAGTTACCGGAACAATTCCTCAGTTGAATATTGCAAAGTTGCAGAATATATCACTCCATGAAGTAGGCATTCAATACTCAAGGTCTCCTACAATGTCAGTAACAGGAGTACACAATAAGACTATTTCCTGTGGAATGATTGTAATCAAATCTGAAAATCCTTCTGCGATTTAAAATTAAATGCGAACTCCCTGGTCGCAACTGAACGAGTGACGTCATCATAGGTCTGCATAAGGCAGGACGTTTTAAATACTAAATCAAAAAACATATACGAAAACTTCACTATATATTCCGCAGATGTAAGTTATTATATGTCACATACATTGATAGCTTCTTTAAGTGTCATTTTGTAAGGTGGGAGGAACAATATTGAATGTGGAATGCTGCTTAACAACGGCACATGAATTTGTATCGAAACGTCGCACTCACGAAATATAGAAGTTGTTATTCATAAAGTTTGTCTATATTATATATTGATTGACCAAAAAAATGTCCAAATAATGATGTCAGTCTAATGGATACGGTCAATGATGATCATTTATCTTGTTTGAAACCCTACGGTATCCATGGGGATTTTATGAGTGAGTTATCAAAGTGCTCCCACAACTCCTACAAGTTCCGGTATAAAGGCACCACCAACTGACTGGTATATGATTTAAGATGGAAGTATTCACCTCGTTCTATTTGGGTATAGGTGAATTGTAACAATGAAGAGCAAACTAGTTTCGATGTAAATTTTATTAGTGTGCAGTCATTCGCTGAAGAATTCTTGATTATGATAAATTTGTGATTTGATTATAATTCTTTCCATATACGCAAAATGTTCATGCAAATTCTCTTGATCTTAAAACAACATTATTTAACAGGTGTAGCACATGTTTATAACGGACTTGTATAAATAAGCATGTTCATGCTCTGAACCCCATTGGTGTTTATAATACAGTGAAGCACATCATTATAGTGATCTATACTCATATGCTCATGATATAGTCTGTAAAATCGATCCTGCTTGTAGCAGACATTTTAAATATGGGACGGATTCAGCTGCTTGAAGAAATAGGCAAAGTGTTATAAGAACTAAATCAGATTAAAGTCATAAATGAATCGAGGCGTCACGAGCACCCATAACATTTTTATCGTCATAGATTATAGGAAAATTCATTGATGTAGACGGCAATATGTGAAGTTGTTTTAAGTGTGTCATGTGTGTTGCTGATGAGGCTGTTGCAAGCACACCAGTAGGAGATGGTGAGGATGAAAGTAGATGGTGCCCTCCGCGTCGTGTCACCACAGTTCAGAACCACAACCTCACGATTCTCAGTACGACGACAAAAATAGATTTCAAATATTGCTGAGGGTTGCTTTTCTCTTTAAAATGTGCTCTAAATAGTCATAAATCACACTCGTCGTCTTGGGGTATCACGCCGACTGTAATCGCTACACCAGAGCTGCCCTTGGGAACATGGCGACACGAGTCGCCGTACTGCAACACAAGTGTATATATGGGCGTAAGCACAACTATTTGAACGCATGTAAAACACCCTGGCATTTTAACCAATCATCCCGTTGGCCTTTTAATATCTAAATACATTAAGTATGGTTTTACATGCAGTAATTTTACTTGTTACACTGCTTCATTTCTTACACAGTGAACAATAACCAAAGTACATATCTAACAGGTTGGTATCCTGGAGAGAAAAGCTGCTTCCGCAAAATCCAATACAAATGCTATACAAATATACCGTATATTTGGGGCACCAGATAAAGGGAATGTAAGGAGACAGTGACTTTTCTTTAACGTCCACCGAACTACATGTATAACCTATGACAGCTTTGAGGGATTGAAAAGTTTCGTAGTAGTCAGCAATATCTACAGCTGTATCACGCCGTCCGTAGTGGAAATCATGTGTGAATTCAGCTATCTCCACGTCGATCTGTACAGTCAGCACTATCTTTACTATATCATGGAGATCTGTAGTCAGCAAAATACAATGTAATATCCATAGTGAGCCTTTGTAATCTAGCAACACTTATTGGTTGATAACTTCTTTGAGTGGCATTTTAGAAGTTGGGATGTACAATATTGAACACACTTTATGGATAACAACTTCTTATGTTTCGTACTCACGAAATATAAGAAGTTGTTCAATATTACCTGTTGGTTCTTTCGAATTATTTAGGGTAATATGAATCAGTTCTGCCATGGACATCACTAATAGTATCATGAATGCGCAGTGTCATGCAGGAATTCCGAGAAAATGTTGCAACCGAAAAAGCAACTTAAACAAGATGTCAGACGTA